GTCCATGCTTGTAGCTGCCACCACCTCCTGTGGCAGTGAATTCCATATGTTAACCACTCTTTGGGTGAAGAAGGACTTCCTTTTATCCATTCTAACCCGACCACTCAGCAATTTCATGGAGTGCCCACGAATTCTTGTATTGTGAGAAAGGGAGAAAAGTACGCCTTTCTCTACCTGCTCTATCCCATGCATCATCTTATAAACCTCGATCAGGTCACCCCTCAGTCGTCGTTTCTTGTGTAACAGTGGAGGGAGAGGATGAAACCTTTACCTGCAAGTCTTGCATGGAGCTTGGGAGTTGCAGGGGTGGACAGTGCTCTGCCAGGTAGGCCGCTTTTTCTTGTTCCTTAGCCACTTGCTCTTTTTCAAGTTCAGTAGCAGCAACTTGGAGCATCACACTCTGAAGGATACAATTGGGAGGAGGACAGTGACTGGTACAGCAGAAGCGTTTTCAGAAGGCAGGGAGGGAAAAGTCACAGAAAGGAAGTGGCCACGGGTGCATCATGGGATACACCAGTGGGCCCTGAAGAGCGAACGGCTAGACCAGAGCTAGCCAGGGAGCGGCGCAGGGCAGAAGCGCCGTGGTCCAGAGGCACACAGAACCAGGCCTGGCAACTCATAACCAAGTTCTGCCATCAATTCACTGGATGTGCTTGGGCGAGTCTTAGAAGCTGCAGATATAAAATGAGAACCATAATGGCCGAATTTAGGGCAACGGTTTCAGAAGCAGCATTTCCCCAGTCACCTGCCCAAAGCTGGATAGAAGACAATGGGGCCAGTGCGCCAGATGGGCCGGGGTATCAGAGTCCTAACGCCCACTCAGACACGAAGCTGGGGAAACTTGGGCCACTCACTTCCTTTCTCAGCAAAATCTCCCTCATGTGTTTCCCTAAAGGAAGGGCAGGATACAATTGTAATAGGTAAGTAATAGATGGTGGGATCTGGTTGGAACAGCAAAAGAGCACAGAAAGGCAGTGAGAACACCAATCTGTGGCTGACCTCCAGACAGCTTTCCCTCACAGAATGATTTTCTCCTCAGTCAGGGCTCTTTTTGTAGCAGGAACTCCTCTGCATATTAGGCGACACACCCCTAATGTAGCCAATCCTCCAAGAGCTTACAGTCGCCCATGTAAGGAGAGCTCTGTAAGCTCTTGGAGGATTGGCTACATTAGGGGTGTGTCGCCTAATATGCAGAGGAGTTCCTGCTACAAAAAGAGCCGTCAGCTAAGAGAAAAGCATTTAGAGAGGGGGACCAATTAGAGGTAACTGGTGGACACTGGGAAAGTTCAGCAGCACTTGCCCGCATGGCCTTGTTGCTGTAACAACTGGACATCCATAACTGGGGCAGTTCTATGGCTAAACACAAAGAAACATCATTACCACGCTGAAATTGGTTCCGTCGTTGTATTGGAAACATGACAGAAACATATGGTGGTGGAACAGCAGGACGGCTTTAAAGCTGAACAGCAAAGTAGTAGTAAATAGTAGTCGGGAAACTGATTCTAAGTGGGGGCTCATGTGTAGAGAACCACAGATTTTGGAAGTGGCACCACCATTCCAGTAGGAGAATGCTGTGCAGCACAGACATATTGCCATATCAGAGGCGAACACAGTAGTAACGAATCATGCCCATCCTTATGAGCTATCAGTAACCATCAGTACCTTGAGATGCTGCCGACGGGCAGTGATTGCCCTCTTCTTTTTCTAGAATTGAAAGAAGCAAAAGGATAAAGCAGTAGGTCACTATATGTGCTTAGAGCATCCTCACAGAAAGCATATCTTACAACGCATATTTGCCAAGTTTACAAACATGTAAAAACCACAGAGTATCAAGAGAAGGGCGTTTACACCGGACAAAATGTCTTACAACGCTTTTGTTTTGGGGTACTGCTGACAGTGTTCTCTGTATGGTATCCTGTTTCTCTGTCTGCCCCCACTTTGGCCGTTCCTACCACCCAAAGAGCAGATAGTCCTACACACTAAGTAGTGGTTAGTCCCACATCTCCAAGGAATGAACAACTTTGTGGCAACATAAATATCGGCTGATTTCGCACTAGAGCTGCCTCGATGTTGCGTTACCGTTTGCCCCGATACTATTGGTCAATTTCACACCCGAAGCCACGGGGCTGCATTTTGACCCACGGCTTCACCTGATTTCCCCCGCAGTTTCGTGATCCCGTTTTTTGAGGATCACGAAACTACCGAGGAAATCGGGTCAAAATGCAGCCCCGCAGCTTCGGGTGTGAAATTGACCAATAGTATCGGGGCAAACGGTAACGCAACATCGAGGCAGCTCTAGTGCGAAATCAGCCATCTATCATTGGGTTGCAGAGCAATCTAGTGCTGCTACTGCCCAAGTTTCTGTAGATTTCAGGGCCAAGAGGCCTTGAGGAAGTGACCGCTGGTTCTTTCTACCAACCAGCAGGGGTGGATTAACCATTAAGCAGACTAAGCACGTGCTTAGGGCACCAGGGCCAAAGGGGGCACCACAAAGTTGGGGAAAGGGTGAATATTGGAACTTTGATACATTTAACTGGTGAAATATTAAAAGAGATGTTGTATTGCGTTTTTGTAGAACTTCATGTAGCCCCAGCTTGGCTGAGTTTGTACAGTCTATTGTGTTATCCTATGAATAAATGTTTGTATTGCTGCAACCTGCATTGTATATCCAGTCAGACAGGTCAACAACTAAAATGGACTGGGGGTCAGTGTGGAAAGGAGGTGGGGGGCACCAAGATTGGTCAGTGCTGAGGGCACCCGTGAGCCTTCATCCGCCCCTGCCAACCAGTTTTATGGAAGCAGTTTACACAAGAACTTATCAGGGGTTCCCTTTTACTCACACCAAATTGTCCATTGTCCCCAAGTACTAATCCATTCAAACTCCACGCATAAATTCTACCCTGGTTGTACTTAGGGCTTTTTTTTTTGTAGAAAAAGCCCAGCAGGAACTCATTAGCATAATAGGCCACACGCAACAGCTGAAACCATTAGCCTTAGGCCACACCCCTGACAGCACAGCTCGTTAGCCTATTAGGCCACACCCCACATGTTACCAGAAGTGTGGTCATCCAGCCACACCCACCTTTTGCTTCTTATTCTGTTTACTTTGTTGTCAAAACCCTGGGCCTTTTTTGGTAGCAGGAACTTCTTTGCCTGTTAGGCCACACACCCCTAATGTAGCCAATCCGAATGAGTTTCTGCTGTTGGGTGTGGTCTATTATGCTAATGAGTTCCTGCTGGGCGTGGCCAACTCGGGAGCCAGCCGGAGCTCCATTCCTGTGCGTTCCTGCCCAAAAATAGCCCTGGTTGTACTGTAGCCCAGGGCCAGCAAATGACTGGGAAGGAGCATGGAGTTAAATTTAACAGCATGTTCCTCCTTGCCAGAGAACAGTAAGCACCAGTAGAATTGCCAGCTCTGGATTGGGAAATACTTGGAGATTTTGGGGGTGGGTCTGAGAACAGAGTTTGGGGAGGGGAGGGGTTTCAATGCCATAGAGGCTACCTTTCAAAGCACCCATTTTCTCCAGGAGGACTGATCTCTTTTGCCTGGAGATTAGTTGTAATCTCCAGCTACCACCTGGAGGTTGGCAACTTTAAGACAGGGCAAAACTTTTCTTTGGCAGTTCATTCAAGGTACAACGACCACCCCTGAGCGCTAGATGCAGAATCCTCCCTTGGGGAGAAGCAACCATAAGCTTGTTTCCACACTATGGTTGTCTTTACTAGATTATGGCATATATTGATTATGTTCTGACGTTAGCTAGAAGATCAACCATGTGGTACTTGAAAGACTTTGCTGTAGCATGGATTTCACCAGGAAAACCCGTCTTCTTCAGATGCATCAAATACGACATCAAATACTCATCAAAAATAGGAGTTATTTTTCAAAGCCAGCGCTTCTCTTCACTAGTAAGTCACAGACCTTTGCCCAGGAATAGCAGTCTGTTACGGGTAGGATGGGAAGGTAAATATGCTGTCAGCTACATATGGTAAAAAAGGGGCCACGGTGGCTCAGAGGTTAAGATGCTGAGCTGTAGACCAGAAGGTCTGTAGTTCGGCAGTTCGAGACCCGACTGCCACGTGATGGAGTGAGCTCCCATCTCTGGCCCCAGCTCCTGCCAGCCTAGCAGTTCGAAAGCAAGACACTGCAAGTAGATAAATAGGTACTGCTTTGGTGGGAAGGTAAACAGCATTTAATCATGCCGGCCAGATGACCATGGAAATGTCTTTGGACTGCGCTGGCTCTTCAGCTTGGAAATGGAGATGAGCACCGCAACCCTAGAGTCGGATTCGACTGGCTTTCGAGCAAGGGAAACCTTTACCTTTACATATGGCAAACAAACTCTTGGGACCATGTGGAGGTTTGGATGAAAGACACAGTAGGTAGGGAATGGGTTAAATACTGCCTCTTTTCTATCAACAGTTGTGAGGGTTTTGCATTTACAGTATGTGGCCCATTTGCAGGTTTCTCACCCTAATTTTACAATCTGTCCTTACTTATGTTTATCTGAGCCTTCACTGGTGTGCTTTTGTCTCTCTGGAATGATTCCACAATACAGGTATCTTC